TACGACAAAATAAAAAAATACGCGTTCAATATTTTTTCAGTACCTAACTTACGGACTAATAGATTTTTAATATTCATACCCTGTCATCATCCTAATTGGGCTGGTTCTGCAATGCCAAAGCATGGTTCTCATATATTTAAACATGATTATTGAACAGTAGCCACCGAGAGACGGACAATTAATGTTATATACAAGGTCTTGTTTTAAAGCCGTGTCATTTTCTAGGAGGTAACTAAGTCGGCAATCGATTATAAGTCCGAATCAATATAAAAAATTGTAGGTAAATATTTTTCATTTTTCTGTAAATTACGGAAATCTGTAAGTGCGAACTGCACGCCGCCGTCTTGTAACTAGTTTTACAACGCGGCTTAACACACACAAACTCAAACACGTAATTGATATTATTTCTATCTATTATTCCTAATTCCATAAAACTCCAATAAGTAACATTCCTGTCGCTTATTCTGAAATACTGTCGAACTTAAACGAATTATTATAGTCGTATTTTTAACTATTGGCCCGAAACTTTCTCTTACATTGAACCTTTATGACTTCTGTGACATGCCCCCGAGAAATGACACGGTTTTAAAACTACACTTTGTATATGAAAGTTTCTTTGTTTGGATTTTTGTCCATCAATCACGCTGAAACTACTTAACGGATTTTGATGATATTTATTATACAGACAGAGTATGGGCTAACTTAGGTGATATTATACTTATTATCCCGATTAAATGCTACTATGGTTAAACAGGACTCATAATCTACGCGTAAGAAGACGCGGGCAACAGTCCTATGTTGTTATATTATCGGAGGGGCAATTAAATTCCGAAGAATCTTCTAGCTATATGTCAATTGTATAGATTACGGCAAACCCTCTTATGTACAGAAAGAGGTTATGAGTGTGATAGTAAGCTAGACAAACAATACATAACAGTTTCAAATAGGAAGACCTTCCGTAATAATACTTTTAAAATCAAAATCTCTTTAAGACCCCATTCGGTCCGGGCATCAAATGTTCCTTCAGTTAACAGCCGAAGAACTATCGAAGCTAACGACCCAATTAAACAAAAACACTTCTCCCATAAACTCCCACCGCACCCGATAATTAAAAACCCACGAACACACACTGTCAACAACCCTAATTAGAAAATACAATCTATTTTTAAACATGGCAATTAAACAATTTGTTTTCGACGCTGACAACACGCATGGCTAGCGACAGTTTATTACTCTGGCAACATTTTACTTGCAAGTGTGAATTACGTTTTAAAATGGCAATGAGACGTGAAATGGAGTGTTTTCGCGCCTTTGAGATCTAAAAATGGATGACAGATGTGTCGCACACGTTTTGCTTGAGTTGAACAAGTTTTATTACTTGTGTGTAACTTACTAAGTATATTTAGTGATTTGTATTGACTTTGTTCTTAATTACCTAATTAAAAATCGCAGGTTACTCACGTGAATATACTGAGAAAAGCTCTACTAGTTTCGAACCACAGAGGGGTTCTACCGCATGAGCAGCGTGTACGGTCAAATCACTAAATATCCTTAAAAAAATTAGCGAGAAAAATCCAAAAGTAGGTAAATTGTTAAATCAATGGATGAGAGTATGATTATTTTTTATTTATTTATTGCATTGAAAAGTTTAAACAATTTATTTTAAACCTAGGAAACTAGCCAATTGAGGATCAAACAAAGAGCGGCAGCTCGTTGCCCAGCCACTGTGCCAACAGGACAGTCATCCGATTCAGTTCGATTCCCGCACAAAATCACTCTATGTGTGTTCCACAAATTGTTATTTCGTGTTTAAATTATGAGTTTTTAAACAAAAAGACATGACAGATGAGAAAATTAAAGAGTGTCTTCTAAAAGAAAAAAGGGTGATACAGTCAATTCCTTTTTTTTTTCAATCAAAAAAAATCGAAATTTCCACCAAAAATACTGAATTGCACTCTAAATTTGCTCATCAAATAAATCAATTACACTATACGTTTAGACCTTTAAAGCTTAACTGTTTTACTGAATGACTATATTTTAACTAAAAGTAAATCTAATAATTCCTAACCTAACATAACCTATATTTTGGAAATTCCGTTGTAATATTGAACAATTTGTGTGCAAATCAGTATTTTCGTTGTACGCTGAGTAATATGTACCTAGTTAATTTGTAGTACAGTATTTTTTTTTGATATGCAGTAGGTTATTAGTGGAGAGATTTAGTTTGCTTAAATTTGTAAACAGAAGTACAGCAAAAAATTCCCCAAAGAAAAAGTTGTAAGTAAATATAAACTTAACTATTAACAATCTAAAACCAATAATGCAGAAATCAGCTAAAAATAAAATAAATTACCCATCGATTGCAATTTGGCTAGACTCGCATCATAAAACGACCGAGCCTCGATCTGTTCGCGCCAAAACAAACGTCACATTTCCCGCCCATTTTGTATCAATCACCTTGACAGCTCATAGGGTTGACAGTGATAGGTAATGATCGATTATTTTGAAATCGAATAAAAATTATTAGTTTTATTAATATGTTTTATTGAGATGAATGGCTTATCAATAAATTAAGCTTTAATTTATAATTGGGATATTAAAGTTTTTTATTTGTTAGTGGTTTGGCAGCTAAGTATTAACGTAATTGATGTAATTTATTTTTAAATTAATGCACATCAGGATATGTATTCAGATCTACCTACCTATAGACTAATAATTATGATTTGGTTCAAAGATCAATCATCTACTTAGACACCAGTAACATATATTTTTATTACTCACCTATATGAGACGACATGATGTGGATGCTGCCACATCGTATAATAATGATTATGAACTACTAGCTTCTGCGCGCGGGTTCGCCCACGTTCCCGTATTCCAGACCATAATTTATCCCTGGTTCAAATGTTATCCGGACCTTTCAGCTGTTTTGACGTGATTCAGTAACAAACATACACTCAAACACACAATCATAAACTTTTGCATATTATTATTATAGTTATGAAGTTTTGAAATAATATTCAACAAATAAACTAAGCCAACCGCGACCCCTACCCACATTTTCATAGAAACATCAAAAATTCGCGCCATCTTTTGACAGCTGTCATCGTTGTGTCAATGTCAAACAGCCCTAAAGTTGCGGACGTTGTTTCAAGCACTAATGGTTTCGTTAATTGTGAACTGAGATTATAATTAGAATCGAAACTAACTATTTAACGAGCTAAAGACGTCAAATTAATTGTCACTCGAGTTTCTGAATGCTTGGCAGTCGGCGTGGCAGTTTAAATTCTTTTGATGAACAACTTTTTTTGTTTAGCTAAGTAGTTATTTGTTTGTATCCCGGTTGGGTTGGTTTGGTTTAATTTATTGATGGGTGCGTTCTTTTTGGTTGAATGATTATAAGTGTGACTGTTCAGCTTTTCTTCTTGATGACGAGGGCAAACCTTCAAATGGCGTCTAGTTTTTTAGAGATAAAAGACTAGGAAGTGTGGGATTTTTACCTCACTGAAACCACTCCGTTGACCAACCTCAATACCTGTATGAACGCACCGGGTCCTCTAAAAGAGACCTGCTTCGGAGGTGACTGTTAAGCTAAAGGTCTCGGGTTCCACGGGTTGAGGCCCAACAGGGCTGATTCCGATTCGGAGTCGTGGAGAACCTAACGGGTTACCGGGGCTCCGGCTCGACGGGGAGGAGAAGGAACGGGGTTTGGTTTGGTTTTTAGTCATTAAGAGTCTGACACTCCTTCCCTCCTTATACAGGTGGGAGCAGTCATTCGATGATTTTCACCCCCATAAAAAAAGGTCTCGGGTTCGATTTTTAAAGGTAAATTACATAGTAATATTTTTATTTTTGGTTTTTGTTGATCTGCTGGCCACTACACAATACACCTCTGACCTCTGTTTGTTTTTTGGGGGTTATAATTTAAAAAGGTGTTTTTTTTGGTGAAAAATCATCGATTTACTTCTCACGCCTGGGTGAGGCGGGAGGGAGTGCCAGACTCTTACGGACTAAACATCACCCCGTTCCTACTCCTGCACTTCGGGCCGGAGCCCCCGTAACCCGTTAGGTTCTCCGTGACAATTTACAAGGTGTGAAGTTATAGTTCTATCGAGTAATTTCATTTGCGGTATTGTCTACCACAAAAAGTCTTTGAAGTCAATCAATTTTAATTTTTGTTACTAGGCGGTTTTCGGAATGAGTTTTAGGTAAATAATAAATCTACAGTACGGTTGGTACAGTCGGGTGACGGGCTGCTGTTAATATTACAAATTAATTGTATGTATTATGGGCCGGCTCGACAGGGGTGATACCACGACTTCACAGAAAATAGACGTGAAACAACGTTTGCGTTGAGTTTCGTCGTGCGTGTTAGGTAACCGGAGACTCAATAATCACCCCTCTCTTCCCCAATTTCCCCAATCCCTGAATCCCCAACAATCTTCAAATTCCTAATCACCAAAAGGTCGGTAACGCACTAGTAACGTCTAGGGGCAACTCAATGAAAATAAATTATAATGTAAGACTTTATGAGAATTTATTGTATTCTTAGCTCATTTTCTAGCTAGCGACATCTATTATCCAATAGCAAATAATATTAGTTTAATTATAAATTTTTGCTGTGCAAAGACATCTAGTGTCGAATAGCTATTTCCAAGGTCACATGGAAGAAATCATAGACAACACTATAAATCATTCTACTCTTTTTAACTATAACCCAGCTGATTTCGATAGTAGGATTCTTATTGGAATCGTACTATTGAAGGTAGATTTTTAAACGAATAGATTAATATTAATTTTGAGATGACATTCGGAATATAAGATATTATCAGTTAATTTAGTGAACATTGATTCATTATAGTGCAAATAGCATAATTTTTACCTTTGTTTTAATTATAATCATCTTTGTAAAAACGAAACAATGTAATAAGTTTTGAATTTTCAAAAACTGTGCTGTATAAATACGATTTCAGAACGCACTTTTACAGAGACACGAAAAGAGAACAAAAATAAACACGTCAGATGTCAAAATTTGTTGTGTCATGTTGCTGTAATATTTTTGTAATAAACCAAACACTGTGAACTCGTCTTAAATAGAATAATTGTCAGCCATAGTTTATAACTGAGCTAGAAAACTGTTGTTACGTTCCCACCATGCATTGGTACGGAGGCAGTATCGCGGAAGCGGTGACACTATCAAAACAGAGAAATGCAATTTTCGTGGTCTTCGTTGAAGGTAAGCTAAGTTTTACGTTCATAAAATCCAATTTCAAGACTCTCCTAATATAACTAATGCCTAAAGTTGTATAGTTTTGTCCTATTTTCTGTATAAAATTGGGTCAAAATATGTGTCATGTCAAGACGGTAAGGTTATTGGCAAACATTGACGTCACAGCGGCTGTGTCGCAACGTTTAATGAAAATTAAGTAATAAGTACATACATATACTCTAATATTATACCATAAGCAACATCTTAGACAAATAAGACATGTATTAGACACCAATACTCATAGTAAAATGTGTAATTGTAACAGAAATATTCATTCTAAAGTCTGCATCAAAAAGGTCCCATTGTCTTGATAGTTTACAGTTCCCGTTACTCGAGGTCGAGTTTTGAACCATAATCTGGAACAATAACATATAACAATTGAACTTTAACTACTTTAATTTTAAGTCTTTATTTTACAGTAAAAAAATGTTTGGTCTGTGGCAGTGTCTGACTGTTCACTAATCTAATTTACAAGTCCGTAGTTGCATTTGAAACTAATTGGATTCTTATAACAAAATCTTAACTTTAACATATAAGAGGGAAAGTTCATGTTTTTTTTTTATTTTGATTATTTTTTTTTAATATTTGGCGCCGACGTTCAGCCGCTATCTCTCCTGGTGGTAAGCAATCATGCGGACTAATACTAAACTACTTTTTATCACTCTATAAAATAATTTTATTACAACGACGAGCCATTAGATGTTAATTACAATACAATAATATAAACGTCTCTAGTTAACTCGTCGAGTACCGATTTTGTAGACACAATTATAGAACAATAGGTTGCGGTCACCGGTGACCGCTTGGTGTTTGACAGTTTAAACTGATAGTTTTAAGTGATAGCCAATGAATGGAAGAACAATAAATACTATTTGATGTGGCTAGATGTAATCTTTGCCTTTATGATTTGTTTACAAAGATTTTATTTTAAACATAGCCTTACTAATCTATCTATACTTATAATAAATCTGTAGAGAGGTCAATTCTGTACATAAAATATATTTAAAAAATAACTATCAAGGGGTGGTTAGGGATCGCTACTGATGCCAAAAATGCAATCAGTAAAATTTTTGTCTGTCTGTCTGTCTGTCTGTATGTTCGTTATAGAAATAAAAACTACTCGACGGATTTTAACGAAATTTGGCACAATTATTCTTCATACTCTTGGGCAGGTTATAGTATACTTTTCATTACGCTACGATTAATAGGAGCAGAGCAGTGAAGGGAAATATTGGGAAAACGGGAGAAGTTACTCCATTTTTTAAGCTTCCGTCGCGTGTGCAGGCTTAATAGTTAAAGCTACATAGAAATCATGTATGACGGAAATGTTCTACATAAAATTATCTAAATAATATCCCACAACAGCACATGTCTATCTTTTATGGTTGACTTACAATAACACGTGTAACTCCCGATAGCTTAGCAGTTCGGAGCTTTCTGCTTATATTTGTTTACTCTTACGTTTACAATACTCATCCATAGACTTTATGCTGTAACTGTAAGGCCGATGCCTGAAATTAGCTTGACTCGATATTATAAATGTGAAAATATGTGAGCTTATGTGTTTGTGTATGTTTGTTACTCAGTCATATTAAAACGACTGAAGGGACCGGAATGAAATTCGGAACAGAGGTAGAGTATGGTGTGAAGTAATACATTAGCATTTTCCCCCTGGTATCGCGGGCGAAGCCGCTGGCAGAAACTAGTGTTTATATTAAAGCTTCTGTGAGACATACTAAATTAATAAGTTGCTTGCTTCTTGCTCACACCATTAACTGCATCACCCAAAGGTCAGACTGGGAGAAAATGCCTGCGGCATTAAGTCCACCTTATGTACATTTTATGCATGAAGCTTTAAAATAAATAAATAAATATGTTTTCGGCTTACTCATGTAACTACAAATTGAATTAACTACTGTTTTTATAATAACTATCGTGAGACATACTAAATTAACTAAAATCGCGGGTTACTCAAATGAATATACTGAGAAAAGCTCTATTAGTTTTGAACCACAGAGGGGTTCTTAGATTTCCTCGATTCAATGAGTGTTAAGTTCCTTGACAAACTGTTACTTGAGTAAACCGAAAATATGATAATAAATGGCATAAGTAATATTTGTAATGTAAACATTTGTGTGTTTGGTTGTTTGTATGTTTGTTACTCAATCACATCAAAACAGCTGAAGGGATCGGAACGAAGTTTGGAACATGTAGGCTACTTTTTATTCCTTGGGAATGCAAGTAAAGCTGCTGGCAAGGCAGTAGCTTAATGTTTATTTGCAAGAGTAAAAAGTTTGAATATTTGCAACCTTCTTTGGTTTACACATTTTATTTTTTAAGAAAAAAAGTATATTAAAGTTACTTTTCCTTCAAAAAATAACTGCCTGACTGCAAGGTCTGTGCGGTGGCTCGGCAACCGGCTGCCGCGCAACGCGTAGCGAGTTCGATTCCCGCACGGAGCAACTCTTTGTGTGATCCACAAATTGTTGTTTCGGGTCTGGGTGTCATGTGTATATGATTTTGTATGTTTGTAAACGCACTCACGACACAAGACAAAATCCTAGCGTGGGACAACTAAGGAGGAGGCGGGGCGCGTGAGCCAAACCCACCCAGCCATCGCGAAGGACACTCCGGGCGTCGGGGATCGCGTGAAGATCTCCGGCCACCGTAAGCAGGGGTTTGCGGACGGCGAGCATGGGTGGCTCGCCGTCCGACCAGAACCACACACGAGTGTTCGATGATTTTCCCTCCTAAAAAAATGTGTGGGGCAATGTTTAAAAAACAATATTTACAAAAAACCAACGGGTAGGCCCGGCTTGTAAGACAAGCTATTATTAAAAGGTATTACGCGACATTATTAAAAGGTAAATTCATATTAAAAGGGCCGTGGTACGAATAAGCTTAAAAACCCTGTTCTAGACGATGGTGTTCACCACAGATGGGGCCCAACAGGGCCGATGCCGATTCGGAGTCGCGGAGAACCTAACGGGTAACCAGGGCTCCGGCTCGACGTGCAGTAGAAGGCATTGCCGTATGAACATCACTCACGATGGCAGTGGACTTTTGACCTTTGACTGTACATTCAAAATAAAAACTATAATTGATTATCCTCTACAAAAAAAAATCCAGTCTCAAAATATAACAAAAATATAAACAAACAAGTCAATTATAACTGAAATAACAGTTTAAACTATGGGATTAACTAATAAATGTATTTTTTGTGAGCGTCCATCGAGGTTAATGCCAATTTTCTTACAATGTGTTGCATTGGCTACGCGCCAGGCATTGAGTGGTGACTGTTGGCAGTACATCGTGTGACAAACGGACTGACTCATTAACAGCTGTTTGTTATGTAGGTTCGTTATTGCACCTTTTTGAAGTGATGGGTTTGTAGGAGTTCATTTATTTAAATTATGAACATTTATGTTATGAGTCCCATGTAATAGGGGATGATCCTGCCATATACCGGGCACAATGGGGATGATGACAAGTATGAAAATGAAAAATCTAATTAGTCTGTAAGTTAGGTAGTGAAAAAATATTAGACACGTATTTTTTTATTGCGCCGTATAATAAAACAATATTTAGATAAAACGAATCAAAGTTTAAGTGTGGGCTAAAATGTCATTTCTAAGAATAAAATGTACATAGAAGTGACGTCACGCGACATTTCAAATCAATATATCGTCGAAAGTATTCGTTTCTGTAAGAAACTAAAAAATACGTGTCTAATGATTTAAAATAATCTACCAGACGGACATTAAAATAAAAATTAGACATCTACCCTATTCCAGACTCCGTGCTACTACTGAGATTTTATTATAAAAAACCCAGTAGTACTTTGCCCGACCCGGGAATTGAACACGAGATCCCTTGCCCGGCAGTCGCACTTGCGACCACTCAGCCAATGAGGTAGCCGTTAGGTCTAGTAGTTGTGAAGTCGATCTGTCTCATTCTCGACAAAACATCTTTCACTCTTCGCAGCAGAAAAATCAGAAAATACTTATCATATTCTCAACTTTTTTTATTGGTCTACAGGTGAAAACGACATGTCAGTCGAGATGGCAGCCACTATAGATGACACCGACGTGCTGAGCCGACTCTCCAACCAGTCCAATTTTCTAGCCATCAAGCTGAAGAGCGGCTCGCCTAACTATAACTACTTCGCTCAGATTTGTATCCTTTTGGAATAAGTTAAAAAAATATTTATTTATATACACTATTCACTACATAGTATAAAACAAAGTCGCTATCCGCCGTCTGTCTGTCCCTATGTATGCTTAGATCTTTAAAACTACGCAACGGATTTTGATGCGGTTTTTTTAAAAGATAGAGTGATTCTTAAGGAAGGTTTATATGTGTAATACATGCATATTGCACCCGTGTGAAGCCGGGGCGGTCGCTAGTTTATCTATATAAATAAAAATGAATTTCCGTTCGTTGGTCTCGCTATAACTCGAGAACGGCTGAACCGATTTGGATAATTTTAGTCTTGTAATTTGGAATTGATATCCACGAGAAGGGTAGAATTAGAAGATTCATCATTATCATCATCAACGGCCTATAAATGCCCACTGCTGAGCAACGTCTCTTCTTAAGGAGAAGGTTCTTCAAGAAAGGTCGAGGATTAATCACCACGCTTGCTCAATGCGGGTTGGCGATTTCAAACTTATACTTAGAAAGGCCAGGTTTCCTCGCGATGTTTTCCTTCACCGTTTGTCAGTGGTGTCTAGATAATCTTAGAAAGTACATATAACTCGGAAAAGTCACATTGGTACTAGTCGTCGGTAGGTTTCGAACCCCCATTCAGTCATGCATGAGAAGCGAGCGTCTTAAACCTCCGGGTCACCACGACTATGAAAGAGAAGATTAGATGGTGAAAAAGTAACTTTACGAAGCACTATTACCTTGAGGTAGATTAAATCCAGAAAGGGTCCTAGGCAAGCACAAGCACCTCATTGGCGCCACTATTTTTTGTTAGCGTCGCAGCCAATCTATGGGCAGTTGAGCACGCGCATGTCGCGGCGCCGCGCCGACAAGCGCTAAAGTGGCATTTGGCTAAAGGTACTAGCGCCCTTGACACTTGTCTAGTTTGCCTTAGAGAAAATACGGCTTTACCATTACCAAGTCTCAATATATTTCTCCTATTTATTAGATAGACTGCCTCGTTGGCCGAATGGTCGCAAGTGCGACTGTCGGGCAAGGGGTGTCGGGTTCGATTCCCGGATCGGGCAAAGTATTACTGGGTTTTAAAAAAAATCTCAGTAGTAGCACGGAGTGTGGAATCGTGCTCGGTATATGGCAATAGGCTCACCCCCTATTACATTGAAAAGTGGGTGTTACATTGTACAGTGGCATAATGCCTACCCCTTCGGGGATAAAAGGCGTAATGTAATGTAATGTTATTATTAGATTGTGATGTATTTTGTCCCTAACTCACAGTAACTAGATCAATTCGTGCCGGTTCCGTCCTTGTTCTTCATTGGTCGGAATGGTATGCCTCTAGAGGTAGTATGCGCAGGAGTGCAGGCGAGCAACTTGGCTGTGCGGATAGATAGGATCCTTGAGCAGCATTGTGAGTATTATTAGTTACTTTTTTATTTATTTTTAAATGTCATCATTGTAGTTTCTTGCTCGTTCTTCTCCATACCAATGTACATTTTGAGATTAACAAATAGCTTCAGCTACAGCTTGACCTATCTGGATCTGTTTGCATTAGTATTGGTCGTTAGTGCGACAGCCGAGCGGTCTCGGCTTCAATTTCCGAGTCGTATTAATTATTATATACATATATATAGTTTTTAGGATTTTTTGCAATTTTTCAATTCGAATTATTAGGTGTGTTGTGTGTAACTATAATAAATCCTTTTCTTCCAGACAAAGATAAGCAGCCATCTCCCACCAGCGCTCAATCAGCCATTGAACAAGTCCAGCCATCCACGTCATCCACCAACATCCACGGCTCCAGTACCCTGAAGGAGCAGACTGGCAGCTTCGTTCAGACTGAGACTGCCGCCATGGTGACGCAAGCTGCTGAGGCTGCCCAGCAAGTACATGACGATGAAGGTTAGTTTACTATGTAAGATACGCAACATCCGCCTGCATCCATATCATCCGCCATGCCGCATGTTGTCTTCAAAACGCGACCAAGGTTTATTTAGTCCATCATTTAAGTAATGAAAAAGTATTTACGAATTTTTCTGCAAAATACATATACACTAGCGGACCCGACAGACGTTGTCCTGCATATCCACTTGAATGTATAAACAAAAATTCATTCAAATTAGTTTAGACGTTTACCATAAATAACCTAAACATCGACTGCAGCGCCATCTGCCGGGCTGATTTGTGAATCTAAACCATTTCCAGATCCCCTTGAACACACACAAAAATTTCATCAAAATCGGTCCAGTCGTTTGAGAGAAGTTCAGTGACATACACACTCACAGAAAAATTATATATATAAAAGATACTACATATACATACATACAAGACTTATCATAATCAGCCTTCATACTATCACTAACGAATTCTCTATGGGATAAAGCAAGCAAAAATTACAACGCTCATTCATACAATCCATAAATTGTTCTTGGGATCTGAGGCCTTAGTACGACTTTCTTTTACGTTTTAAGTTATCGTAACGAGTACGCGTTCGGCGCTGTGATTGGCATCAATGAACCAACCAATCAGAGCACAGAACGCCGTCTCGTTTCGATCGTACTAAGGCCTCTGGATGTCATGTGTGTAATTGCATGTTTGTAAACGCACCCGCGCCCAGGACACAGAAGACAATCTTCGAGTGAGGCAATGTTTCATAAAAAGTGTGGGAGAGCCATGCTTTGGCAAGAATGGGCCGTTTTCTGCTCGACCGTAGTGATACCACGGCCGAGCAGAAAATTGACGTGTAACAGCGCTTGCGTTATGTTTCGTCGAATGAATGACGTTACCGGAGGCCCAATTCCCCCTTTTCCCAATCTCTCTAATCTCTGCATCCCAACAATCCTTGAATTTCTAACCCCCAAAAGGCCGACAATGCACTATTGCAACTCCTCTAGTGTTCTAGGTGTCCATGGGCGACGCCGATTACCTACCATCAGGTGATCCGTCTGCTCGTTTACCGGCTTATGCTATAAAAAATTACTAAGTACAATGTATCAAAATTCTTCAGCAACAGGTTCACCCCCACCGAAAATCCCGAAGACCGCCCAGGAGTCGAAGTCACTGACTCCAGATGACATGGAATGCGATGGTGACGTGTGTGTGAGGCGAGCGTCCAACGAGGCGGGACCCAGTCAGGCACCCACACCTAGTCTGCCTAGCACGCCTGCTTCGTCACAGGTAAGTCTTATAGTCAATACTACAAGTCGCGGAGAACCCTAACGGTCGCGGAGAACCTAACGGGTAACCGGGGCTCCGACTCGACGTGCAGGAGAAGGAACGGGGTGGTTTTTAGTCAGTTAGAGTCTGACACTCCCTCCCGCCTCACCCAGGCTGGAGCAGGCATTCAATGATTTTCCCCCCTTAAAAAAAAAATAGTCAATACTAGCTGACCCGCCAAACGTTGTTTTGCCATACAAATAATTTCGTAGAAGAGTGAAAATTGAGGATTGTATGTATTTTTGTATGTTGTATCATAAAAAAATAGAAGTTAATAATTTTGTCAAAAAAATAGAATAAAAATTTTAGGGGTGGACTACCCCTAAAATTTAGGGGGATGAAAAATAGATGTTGGCCGATTCTCATAGATACCGGATAAGCACAAAAAAATTCATCAAAATCGGTCAAGCCGTTTCGGAGGAGTATGGCAACGAAAACTGTGACACGAGAATTTTATATATTAAAATATTATATATTAAGAGGCGTGATGTTTTGTTATGTCATAACATAGGTGTTACATTGTACAGTGGCATTAAGCGCCGTAATGTGCACCTCTGCCTACCCCTTCGGGAATAAAAGGCGTGATGGTGATACTGACTTTATTATTAACCGACTTCAAGAAAGAGAAGGACGCTGAAGTCGGATTTTTACGTTGATTATTGAAATTTATTTCCCCTTATTCAAGGCGCCGGATTTGTCGACCACAGAAAGTGTAGGCAGCATGGAGGAGAAGATGGAGCGAGCCAAGGAGCTGATAGAGGCCAGGAGGAGGGAGAAAGCTGATAAAGAAAAGGAGGTCAATAAATATTACTCAATATCCTACTTTCACACACTGCTCACACTTCTCCTATTGGTCGTAGCGTAATGTTTTATAGCCTATAGCCCTCCTCGATAAATGCGCTATCCAACACAAAAAGAATTATTAAAATCAGACTTGTAGATACGGAGATTAGCGCGTTCAAACAAACAAACAAACAAAAAAACAAACTTCCGCTTTATATAATAAGTATAAGATTACCTATTACAAATGGACTGCCTCGTTGGCCGAGTGGTCGCAAGTGCGACAGCCGGGCAAGGGGTTTCGGGTTCGATTCCTGGGTCGGGGAAAAGTATTACTGGGTTTTTCAAAAAATTCACAATAGTAGCACGGAGTCTGGAATCGTGCCCGGTGTGTGACAATAGGCTCACCCCCTATTACATGGGACTCATAACATAAATAGTGAAAAGTGGGTGTTACATTGTACGGTGGCATAATGTACACCTCTGCCTACCCCTTCGGGGTTAAAAAGGCGGTCGCCGAGGCAGTCTTGATAATCAAATAAAATAAAATACCAGAGAAGTTGGTGCATTGGTGGCCTTTTGGGGATTCGTGATAAGAGAAGACTGGGACTCCGGTAACTTCACTCATACGCAAGCGTTGTTTCACGCCAGTGTTTTGTGTGATTTATATTGTTTAATACCTATATTAGAATTGAGGTAATATTTACCCTTATTTATTACCTTTTTAATGATGCTTTTTCTCTTTCTATTTATTAGTTGGAGAAAGAGAAAGAGATGGAGCGGCGTGCTCAGGGAAAAGGTGTCGCAGAGTTGAAGCGGTGGCAGGCAGACCAGGAACTTAAACAGATACAGGTAACCGCTATGAAATAACCATCAAATAGTCACGGTTGCTGAAATCGACTATACTCGGAATTTTAATTCGATTCCAGATTTGACAATTTCGGTGTTGCAACGTTATGACAAGTACTAAATAGTGACGTTGCGAAATTATTCGATATGGAAATGCAATATTTCTGGATCGATTCTTCTCGTTTATAATTCTACTCTCGTAAACTAAGTATATCAGAAAATTAATATTCTAATTAATATTCTGACTATAGAATAGGGTAGTTATCATCAACAGCCTATAAATGTCCACTGCTGAGCAAAGCCTCTTCTCACACGGAGAAGGTTTGAGCATTAATCACCACTTCACCACGCTTGCTCAATGCGGGTTGGCGATTTCAAACTTATAATTAGAAATTATAAGCCTAGGTTTCCTCACGATGTTTTCCTTCAGCGTTTGTCAGTGGTGTCTAAATAATCTTAGAAAGTACATATAACTCGGAAAAAGTCACATTGGTACTTGCCGTTGGTTTCGAACCCTCATGCATGAGAAGTGGGCGTCTTAAGCCTCCGGGCCACCACGACATACATAGAATAGGTTAGTTATTATTATTCGGTATTTCCGAACCGATACGACCTACAAACCTTCAAGAAAAGAGCGTACTCCTTTTTAAAAGGCCGGTAACGCATCTGTGGGTCCTCTGATGTTGCGGGTGTCCATGGGCGGCGCTGACCGCTTACCATCAGGGGATCCGTCTCCTCGAGTCTCGACACACACTACTCGAGTATGGGCTTGGTATCCAGTCAGGTTGGAGAACTCAGTATAAAAGGTTCAGGTTTATCAGAGAGCATTGCTGGACGGTCTCTGTCAAGTGTGTAGTTTATCAGCCGGGTATACGACACCCGTGAGAAGAGTAGCGGTGGTGAATGGTTTTTTTAAACGTTGCTGGGATTACTTCCTACTACATTAAGTGCCGTACTGTGCACCTCTGCCTACCCCTTCGGGGATAAAAGGCGTGATGTTATGTATGTATGTTGCTGGGATTCACACACTGGCATTTCCTCCTGTGTCGTGGGTACGTTTACAAACATACAAGTTTACATACAAATGTTGATAATATTATTCGCAGGAGGAGCGTCGTCGTGAGAAGATGGAGAACAACTTGGCCCGGCAGCGGATACTGGAGCAGATCGCGCAGGACCGGCGCGAGCGGCGCGCGCGGGACGGCCCGCCGCCCGCACCGCCCGCACCGCCCGCCGCACCGCCCGCACCGCCCGCGCAGCCCACTGCCAGTCTGTATACACTGCTAATAATATAAAATAAAATCATTTTCCACTGTTTGGCCATATGGTTAGATATTTAAAACTATTTTAGAGCATTCAAGAAGAACATTTATGGATTGTTTTATTCCAAATGTAACATGTACGAAGCTAGCAAAAGCATATTATATTATGATAGTGCAGCAGTAACATATTACTTAGGCTGTAGCCGGAGGATGCAAAGGACACCTAATTACTTCTTAAGATATAAGTTTAATTAATTGGGATGATGACAGAGTATGAAAATTAAAAATATAATTGGTCCGTAAGTTAAGTAATGAAAAAATATTAGACACGTATTTTATTATTTGGTCGTATAATAAAACAATACTTAGATAAAACGAATCAAAGTTTAGGAGTGGGGGCTAACACGTCATTTCTACGTATTAAATGTACATAGAGGTGACGTCACGCGACGTTTCAAATCAATACATCGTCGAAAGTATTCGTTTCTGTAAGAAAATTAAAAATGCGTGTCTAATGAAGTAAATACGTGATTTTAAATTTTCAAAAATTTTTAAAACATACATAACTTCACGCCTGTCTCCCATGGGGGTAGGCAGAGAATATGAAACGCCAATGACTACGATTCCTACATACCATTTTCGCTTCACCAACAGTTATCAATCTTTTCATGCATGCTCGTCGGTCAAGGGTACTTTCGGCCCTTCTTTAATATATTGCTAATCTAATCAGTATATGATCGTCTAGTTATTATCTTGTCCCCCCCCCCAGCGTCAGGCGACGTGGGTACGGGCGCGCGCATCCAGTTCAAGTTGCCGGACGGCACGTCCCACACGGCGCACTTCCACGCCGACGGGACCCTCGCAGACGTACAGAGATACGTCGCCGATAATCTACAGGTATGTGTTTATTGTTATTTTATTAGGCTCTTGTGAACAGCCATCTCAAATACTTTGGCTGGTGCACACAGCACCGCAATTGGTCTGAAATCACTGACATCCGTGCCACCTCGCCGTTTTGGTATAGGTACCACCCGAGTCAGTTTCCAGCGAGTCGGAAAGTGTGCTGTTGATAAGCGAATATTAAATATGTGTTGTAAAGGTCCCGTTAATACCATGCGAGCGCTTAGGCGGCAGACAAGTGAGCGCGCGCCGAACGGCCGCTCGCTCGAGGCTGGCGAGGGCTCGCCTCCCCTCCCCTCCCCATCCCCCC